AAAGAAAGCAAGAAATCACCCCCTGGGGGGATGGCCATGCCGCAGTCCCTTCTCCTCCATTCTCCTCTCGGGATCTTGGGCACGCACGCACACGCGCCCAGCGTGAGTTTTAAACCACCGGGTCTGGGACGTGAACCGCTGTCGACTACATGGGAGTCCAGTGACAGCCATTACGCTAACTGCTGGTCCCTTTAATTCCATTTTTTGAAGTCCCCTTATAGTAAAGACTTGTGGGCATGTGTATACCTGAAGAGAGTTGGTCAGATAAAATATTTTTATTGACTCCTTTGTCTGAGCAAGTTGCCAAATGCTCACTGTCTTAAAAGCAACCTTTTCCACCTTTGATTAGCCCTGTCTGTAATAAAGTTCTTTCTACACCTCCCTGTTGAGGTGTGATGTTAGCAGTGAGTTACCAGGTCACAGTTTATGGTCCTGTAGAGCTTACAAAGACGACTGTCCACATGTTCACACAGAATCGCACAAGCATGCATGTGATGGGTAGTTGCCTTTTTCTCTGGAATTATATGGAAAATCTTTCATCATAGGACTTTTCGTACATTGAAGTAAATATAGCACTTTGTTCTGCCTACTCCCTCCATACACCCACATGCATTACGTGCACACGTGCATGCACCCGCGCACGCACACACACACTTTCTTCACGTTGCTGACCTGTTTTATACCTATTTCTCTTGTAAATGAGTTCCCACCTCCTTGCATCCTGATGCATCCTTATAGACATAGTTTAGTTCACTGGTGGCCTTTTGGGCACAGGTCAGGTTGAGGAGGATGACTAGCCCCAAGCAGGAGAGGCTGCTCTCGAGGCTAGTGTTCACCGAGGCTTTTCATGAGCAGGGGCCATAACTGTGTCACTAATTGTTCTGAACACTCCAGGAGCTCATTGACTCAGATGAGCTGCTGGATCCGGAAGATTTGAAGAAGCCAGATCCAGCTACACTGAAGGCTCCTTCATGCGGTGAAGGGAAAAAGAGGAAGGCCTGCAAGAACTGGTAGGTGTTGGGCTAAGCAGAGTCTGCCACGCTGTTCTGGGGACTTCCCGTTCTCACGTTATCGCTTTACTGAGTAATTGCTTTACTGATTTGAAGACATATGTTTTATTATGAAATGTGTCATATGTATAGAGGAGTATGTTAAGTGGTACTTTTTTTGGAGGAGGTGGAGGGAGATTTTTGCTATAGGGTGTGTGCGCTTGCCAGAGACACAGAGAGTGACAGAGAGACAGAAAGCAAGAAATCATCCCCTGGGAGCATGGCCACGCTGCAATCCCTTCTCCTCTTGGGATTTTGGTCACACACACATATGCTCCTGGTGTGAATTTCAAGTTGCTGGGTCCAGGTCTGGAACTACATGTGGGAGTCCACTGACATAACCATTACACCATCTGCTGGTCCCCAGTGGTACATTTTGGAGTGAGCACCCATCTACTGGTCGCCCACGTTAAAAAGCAGAAACTTGCTTTTATTTTCATTACATTAAAACCTCACCAGTTTAAAAAGAACAGAAACATTCGAAGATGCCTGTACATATTTCTTCAGCTGTATCTCGCTCCCTCCCCCCGATAGGTTATCGTCCTCCATGATTACCTGAATCACTCCTGACTTTTTTTTTTCCTTCAGTGTTTATGTATTTTGTGAGTGACAGACAGACACACACACACACACACACACACACACACACCCTCACCCTCACACACCCTCAGTAGGTCTCATACTGTGATCCCCCTCCAACCTTCCAGCCAGCCAGAGTCCTGGGCGCACATGTGTGTATCTGGTATGTATAGGTCATCTGGGAACCGAACCCTGTTCTTTCATATGGCTTCTACCATTGCAGACCATGCTACCACGATGCCATCACAAATGGACCTCTTCCTGGCTTTTCTCATAGTTTGCTATCTGTGTATAAATCTCCACCCCAAGAATTATTTATTTGTTATTATTATTTATTTTTTAATTTGACCATAAGGAGACAGAGAGAAAGAGAAAGGGAAGGTGAGAAAGCATGCCGCCAGGTTCAGGACTCAAACCATGGTCAGCCATGTGGGGAGTCCAGCACTTTAACTACCATGCCACCTGCCAGCCCAAGTGCGCTGGGTTTTTTGAGAGGTTTTTGCCTTATGATACATGTGTTTGCCAGAGAGAGAGAGAGAGACAGACAGACAGACAGACAGACAGAGACAGTGAGGGGGAAAGTGAGAAATCACCCTCGGAGGAGATGGCCACATTGTAATCCCTTTTCCATTCCCCTCTCAGGATTTTGGGCATGTATAAACACACACCAGGCTTGGGTTTTGAACCCACCATGTCTGGGACTTGAACCACACAATCAGCCATGTGAGATCTAGTCACCTTATTCTTTATGCCACCTGCTGACCACCCCTCTGTCTTATATTAGCTTTTCTGTTTTATGTGTCCCATGTCCTCTTTTGTGTTGGAGCAAATTCTCTAGTAATATTTTTAGAAAAACCGAGACATAAGTTTTGGTGTTTTTTTGTGTGTGTATACAGATAGCTTTTTTCTACTCTCATAAAAGATTGGTAATTTGGGTGTAGAAATCTAGATTAGAAATTGTTTTCTTATGTAATTTTCAAGACAGTTCAATTGTCTTCTTTCTTCCAGTGATCTGATAAGACATCTGAGGCCAGATATCTTTAATCCATTCTATATGACCTCGATCCTTTCTTTAAGACCTCTTTCCGTTTTGGAAGTTCGTAGACTCTTTTTTGTCCCTGCTATCATCCTGTAACATCATGTCTTAAGTAGGAGTCTGTATTCACCTTTTATTGTTTGTTTTGTTTTGTTTTGTTTTGTTTTAAGAGGTTTTTGCTATAGGGCGCGTGCGCTCGCCAGACAGAGACAGAGAGACAGAAAGTGAGAGATCACCCCCCAGGGGGGATGGCCACACTGCAGTCCCTTCTCTGTTCTCCTCTCGGGATCTTGGGCACGCACGCATACGCGCCCGGCATGAGTTTCAAGCCACTGGGTCTGGGACGCGAACCACGGTCGACTACGTGGGAGTCCAGCGACATAGCCATTACGCTAATTGCTGGTCCCACCTTTTGTTGTTAATAGTTAGTCCTCCCATTACTTTCCTGTCAGTCTAGAACGTCACAACCATGGTCCTGGGAAATACTGTTGAATTTTTTTTTTTTTTGGAGAGATTTTTCACTATAGGGCGCATGCGCTCGCCAGACAGAGAGAGACATAGAGACAGAAAGCGAGAAATCACCCCCCAGGGGGGATGGTCACGCCGCAATCCCTTCTCCTCCATTCTCCTCTCGGGGGGATCTTGGGCATGCACGCACACACGCCCAGCGTGAGTTTTAAGCCACCAGGTCCGGGACGCGAACCGCGGTCGACTACGTGGGAGTCCAGCAACATAGCCATTACGCTAACTGCTGGTTCCCAATACTGTTGAATTTTGTTCATGGGTTTTGTCTTCTCTGTTTTCTCTCTATATAACCTGTGCTCAGGTGTTAGTGCTCTTTGGTGCCATAATTTTCTTTTCTCACATTGTCCAGATTTTCATTATGCCCCATTTTCTACATTTCTTCCAGTTTATCCTCTGAAACCTTTATTATTTTATTTCTACCATCATGGTATTTTTTTTTGGGGGGGGGGCATGCATATGCACATGTCCAGTGTGACCTTCAAGTCTCCAGGTCTGGGACTTGAACTGTGGTTGGACATATGGTTGGCACTGTGGGAATCCAGCTCCTCAACCACTGCACCATCTGCTGGTCCCACTGTCATCATGTTGCCAATTTCTTTTTTTTAGAGAGAGAGAGTTTTTGCTATAGGGCACATGCACTTGCTGGAGAGACAGAGAGATCGAGAAACAGAAAGCGAGAAATCCCCCCCCAGGGGATGGCCACATTGCAGTCCTTTCTCCTCCATTCTCCTCTTGGGATTTTGGGCACACATGCACACACATCTAGCGTGAGTTTTAAGCCACCGGGTCTGGGACTTGAACAACAAACGACTGTGTGGAAGTCCAGCGACGTAACCATTACGATATATGCTGGCCCCTCATGTTGTCAACGTCTAAGATCTCTTTTTTTGCTGTTTTTGAGTTTTTAATATAGCATCCAGTTTTCATTTTATAGATTTGATATTCTCATTTCTTAAAGACAGTGACATAATTTCAGTGTTTTTTCTCTGTGTGTAGTCTTCCAAGTTGTCTTTTTCTTTTAGTTTGGGCTCTGACCCTCCTGCCAGAGGCTTTCTTAGGTATCTAACCCTGGGTTCCCTCGAGACTAAGAACAGAGATCAGAAGGCTAATTAGTAGTGCTAAACATGCAAGTGGGGGTGGTTGATTGTGTTTTACTGAAACCTGGAGGCCTTTTGGGGGACACTCCAAAATCAATATCTTTGGGTCTTTCCCTTGGGTTGTTCGATTCTCAGGGAAGGGTCTTCCCGGTGAAATGCCTCTAGTGCCTTTGGGGTTTGGGGGTATAATATAGCACCGTTCAGTCTTCTCTCTCAGTTCTCCCTCCTCCACCTGCTTTACAGTTTCCAGCCCTGTACTGCTGTGGTTTCCTTTCCTGTAGCCCCTGTCTTTGTGGATTTATGTCTTATCTGAAGTTTGAGATTCCTTCAGAAATCAGATGTTAAATTAGATGCATGCATTCCTCTTAACTTGAAAAACATGGGATTAGTTTTATTTTGTTTTGTTTCTAAGGTTTTCGCCAAAAGGACACATGTGCTCTCCAGAGAGAGAGAAAGAGACAATGAGAGGAGGGGCAGCAGGTGATGTGATGGTTAAGGCATTGGACTCCTACATGGCCGACTGTGGTTTGAGTCCTAGACCTGACAGCTTATTTTCTTTCTGGCTCTTTCTGTCTTTCTGGTGAGCACACATGCCCTATAGTAAAATTTAAAAAATAATAATAAAAAAAGAAAAGAAATAACTCTTTATAAAAAAGAGAGAGAAAGAAATAGTAAGAGGGAAAATGGGATGGCTACGCAGCAATCCCTTCTCCATTCTTCTCCTGGGATTTTGGGCCCGGCATGAGTCTCAAGCCACCAGGTCCAGAACTTGAACTGCAGTCAGCCATATGGGAGTTCAGCACCTTAACCCTTACACCACCTGCTGACTCCGTGGGGTTAGTATTTTTGTATTCAAATGAATAAGTGGATTGAAAGGGCAGTACAAAGTTAAGGAGTAGCATGCAGGCTTGTTTAAACACCATTGTTTTTGTAAATGTGAAAACTGCCAGCATTTAGAGATCAGGAGATTAAGTCCAGGATGTTTACCTTTTGTTTTTGAATGTGGACAGGGTGGCCATACCAAGTCTGCTTTTCCCACCGTGAGAATCAGCTAAAACCGAGTGCTGGTGCCCTCTGTGATCAGGATATCTGTCCTCTGTTTCTCCCTGTTCCCCAACTCATGCAGTCTCCCTCATCAACCTCTCACACATTTTCGTCGCCTGCTGGGCGCCAAAGGCATTTCTGTTATGACACCTTAGGATAAGGAGGAAAGTCTTAGAGCATTTCATGGCACCAGCTAGCATTTGGGATTTCTGGGTGGTGGCCATTCTCATCTTCTACTGTTTTCCTTCTGCCAGCACCTGTGGACTTGCAGAAGAACTGGAAAAAGAGAAGTCAACGGAGCAGAAGAGCTCCCAGCCCAGGTCGGCCTGTGGAAATGTAAATATCTGGGTTTTTAATCAGTTCACAAACCCCCAGTGGTGTTGGGCTTCGGCCTGAGCCAAGCACAGACCACTCCACCTCTCGGGAACTCAGCGTCCAGATACTTTGATAGGAGGCAAGAGTGCGAGCACCTGCGTGTAGGTGGTAGAGGGGACAGAGGCTCTCTCTTGAGAGTGGGCTGACATGCCCGAGCCCATGGGGGGCCTCATTATTTCTCACTTTGGGCTCCTTTCTACTAAAGAGTGGAGCGTGTAGTATTCAGCCATTCCGCTGAGCTGGCTGTGATTTGAACTGTTTAGAACATAGAAATAGGGCCTGCTGAGGAACTTCTCTTGGAAGACCTTAAGGACTCCTAGTACTTGGGTCCTAGTTGGACCTCAGATGCACCTGCCATTTACTTCAAGCCACTGTGGCCCCATTATGAAGTCAGGAATCTCGGGAACCAGCAGTTAACATAATGGCTATGTCGCTGGACTCCCACGTAGTCGACCGCGGTTCGCATCCCGGACCCGGTGGCTTAAAACTCATGCCGGGCGCGTGTGTGTGCGTGCTCAAGATGCAGAGATGGAGATTTGAGGAGAAGGGATTGCGGCCTGGCCATCCCCTCTGGGGGGTGATTTCTCACTTTCTGTCTCTCTGTCTCTCTCTGTCTATCTGGCGAGCGCACACGCCCTATAGCGAAAACCTCTCAAAAAAAAAAAAAAGTCAGGAATCCCAAGCAGCCTTCCACTTCCCTGTGTGATTGCTACTCTCTTTCGGCAGTGCTACCTGGGTGATGCTTTCCGCTGTGCCAGCTGCCCCTACCTGGGGATGCCGGCCTTCAAGCCTGGAGAGCAGGTGCTGCTGAGCAACAGCAATCTTCACGATGCCTAAGAGGGACCGACGAGGGACACAGCTGCTCCTCCAGCCGACTCCTGTCCCTCAGATCCCACCACTGTGGCTCCTCCTACCTCTCCTGGATTGGTTCACTCTGTGTGCAGTCTGTGTGCAGGGAGGGTGTGTATACAAAATGAAGCTGGTGTGGGTCACAGTGGTGTGTAGTGCTGCTGTGTATCACCAGACCGAGGTCTAATGGGGTCCAGTTACCGGGAGAGGGGAACCTGTTTCTTCATGTTGTGTTAGAAGGGAGTGTGCCCCAAAGAAACCCCTCTCCTGGTGTCCGAGTGCTGGTCATAGCCCTTGGCCCAGACATCCTTGAGTATTAACAGACAGTGACAGAGCTCCGGCTCACCCTGTCCAGACTCAGCAGTGCTGCCATCCAGTTGTCCGCCAGAGGTGGGTTTAGCCAGTATGCAGTTGTTGGTGACACGGGTCAAGTGTCTCCTGACCACTTCAGGGCCCCATGAGTCACTCATGGTTACCGTGATCCCCCACCCCCATTCTCCCATAGCATCTCATTTGTGCTGCGCTGTTTCGTTAGCCTGCCGGCATTAAACTTGCACTCCTCCGCACGCCAGTTGCAGTGAGGGGACCTGCGTGTGGATGTGATGTCTGACAGTCGGCATACTCATCTTGGGCCACAGAACTCTCTTTTTGGAAGAACTTGGTGTCACACCGATGGGGCCAGCCCTGTATTGTAGAGTAGGGCCTCTCCGCCTCCTCTCAGAGTACAGGCTGATGAGAACTTAGAGGGAAGCAGGACAGGTCTCCAACCCAGCAGTAAGTCTGAGCAGAAGGCCCCTTCGTTGTCTTTGTTACTCACCCACACGGACTTGGAATCGATCTGCCAAATATTTGGAGGTTGTACATTAACACTCAGTGATAAAACTCTGGCTCTGGATTTAAGAGACCTAGAGTTTTATATTTTATCAGTAAATTAAAATGTGCATTGGTGTCTGTCCTCAAAACATGATATGCTTCTCTTAATTTGTTTTTGCTCATCCTGGTCCCTTGTTGGTGGGTTTTGTTTATTTCTCTCTCTCTTTTTTTTTAGAATTGTTTAATTTTATTTATTATTATTATTATTATTGTTTTTATTTTGCTATACAGTACATGTACTCACCAGGGAGAAAGAGAGAGAAAGTGGGAAAGCAAGCTGCCAGGTCTAAAACTCAAACCGTAGTTAGCCATGTGGGAGTTCATTGCCTTAACTACCACACCACCCACTGGCCCTGCTGCTGGTGGCTTTTAAGGATGGGTGTGGCTAGCTTTAACTCCAAAACCCTGTGATAGGCAGAGTTCTGCTTACAGCTCAGAGTTCTGAGCTGACCTCTAGTGGCCTCTGCCCATCTATAAGCCTCTGCCCTAGAGTCTGAGCAGGATCTGTGAGTGTGATGGGCTAGCCCTCTGTGATCAGGTGGCAAAAGTGGAGGGGTTCGCAGATGTGATTGAAATCCTTAATAAGGTCATGAAAAGGTTTGAGTCTCCTTAACGGGCCTGACCTGATCAGTTGATCCCTAGAACTTGACAATAGAGTTTCTCCTGCCAGCTTGAAGCAGGAAGTTGCCAGGTTTTCTATAGGCTAGGATGTGAGGGCAGACCCACACAGCCCCAACAGTCACGGAGAAAGTGGGGACCATAGTCCCACAACTGCAAGAAACTGAGTTCTGCTAACAGCCATGTTCATGCGGAAGAGGGCCCTGAGTGCCAGATGAGAACCCGATTGCAGCCTGGTGAGTTCCTGAGCAGAGTCAGCGTCTGTGCCTGGACTCCTGACCCCGGAAGCTGAGAGAGTGATAGAGCGTTTTAACAGCCAACCTGGTGGTAGGAAACTCAAACAGCCCCAGGAAGGCGCAGCGTTAACATAGACATCCAGCTGCAGCACCTCTGCTCGTCGCTTCTGCTGCAGCAGCGGCCATGGTGAAGGTGACTCTGACCTCCAGGCCGAGGATGAGGTGCTGAGCTGCAGCTTCCTAGGGCAGGTTCGGCAAGTGCCGTGAGCCTTTGCTGGCCTGACTTCTAGCCCCAGCTGCTGTTGGCATAGTTGTGCCTCCCTGCTGCTGCAGTTGGCATAATGGTACCGTGTTGGCAGCTGCCCCACAGAGTTCATAGGGAAGCCAGTAGGTCAGTGTTAGGGCTCTAGGATGGTGGAGAGGCCTTGGGGCTTAGCTACAACTTCACGTGGTAAGGAGATGGGCAGCCAGTTCTTACATCTTGTGACTTTGGAAGACTGCAGTTCCAGCAGGTGTTAGCCTTTTGTGAGCACTGTAGAGCCAAAAACAGTCTCAGGTATCATTGAATGTGGTCTCAATTTACATTTGAGGAAATGGTGAGACCAGGGGGTGACCTGCCACCATGTATCACTCAAGGATGTGCCTACTTTCCTTGTTGGATATTGAATCAATGGGGCTGGGAAGTTCCAGTTTTTTCTTTGTAACTTTCCAAGGCCTTTTGCATAGACCCTGGCCGTGTGCATTTGGAGCTCCCCCTTCTGAAAGCACTCAAATGCAGTAAGTGGAGTGGGCACGCCTCCCTTGGGGTTAGGAGTCAGCCAGAATGGAACACAAAACCCGATGGGAGCCAAAAGCAGGGCCTTGGGAGCTTGCAAATACATTATGCATTTTGTGTTTATAAGAAACTTCATTTAAAAAAAAAAAAAAAAAACTAGGAGAACCCCACATATAAACCCTGCAGCTTAGGGAAAATGCCACTAGTCCAGAACAAAATCCCATACGTCCTTGGCCTGAGCCTCCAGGGAATGTTTGACCCAGCTCTGATCTCATTCAGAATGTGAAAAGTGAACCCAGCCTGGTGGTGCAGTTGGTAGCAAAGTAACTGCAGTGCTGGAGGCCATATGGCTGGCTGCAGGTTTGGAGGCAGGTCAGCTTGAAAACACCAGGTGCACGCAGGCGCCCAGGATCCCAGTGAGCTGGAGGGCCAGGGAAGGGGAGTCGTGATATGGTGAGACTGCCTCTCTGTCTCTGTCTCTTGTGTACACACACAAGAGGCTTTACCTCTTGTGCTGTCTATCATGCATAAAATAATTCTTGTTTATGTATTTATTTTACTATAGGATGCATGTGCTCACTGGAGACAGAAAGTGAGAAACTACCACCTCCAGGGGAGATGGTCACTCCACAGTCTCCTCCATTCTCCTCTCAGGATTTTGGGTATGCACACATATGCGCCCAGAATATTTTTCAAGCCTCTGAGTCCAGGACTCAGCGCAGGAGGCCTTGTGGGATTCTGTCGTCTTAACCTCTACACCACCTGCTGGCCCTAAATAAATTTTTTTTTGGGGGGTGGGGGGCTGACAGAGCATCTATATGAAGGTACTACAGAATAACAAAAATCGCAATAGAGGCAGATGTCTACTGTCTGTGACCAAAATCTATACTACAAATGACACAAGTTTAGAAAATAAAATGAAGAGATACAAGAACTCAAGAAACAACTAGTAAAGTATAAAGAGATCTATGATGAAAACACAAAATTAGCAGACCTTAGTCAAGAAGCGAAAACAAAATTCCAGTTGTGACATCAGTACTGGAACAAGCAGTGGGAAGAATGAGCAGTGCTGAACACAGGGACATAGCGGCCAGGAATAAGAAAGTTGACCAAAATAAAGTGGAAATATAAAGAATGAGGAGATGATTAGACACAAGGCAGAAGAAACACAAATAAGGTATGAGAGTACTTAATGATACCGTTCAGTCTTTTCCAGAACTAGAGCCGGCCTTTAGCTGTAAGGAGGGAACGGTACAGAATGCTCAGTACTAACAGCGGCGTTTTCTCACCTACAGTCCCCAAGAACCCAGTCCCTCCAGAGGGCCATGTGTCATCACAGAGGCCTTGCTAATCTGAAGTTCCTTTCTCTAAAACAACGTGACACTGTATAAACCGGTGAAATACTTGCATCAGCCCAGAAGTTGCTGGGTGGCACCTGCTTGCCTTTCTCTGTCCCTTGAGTCTTTACGCCCATTGCTGTCTTGTCACAGTGACAGGCGTGATGAGGACAAAAGCTGCTTTTACTTAGCTCCTCTCATTGGACAGCAGAGCCAGCGACAACCCCCCACTCAGCTTTTAGTGACTCGGTCTCACCTGTGGCCGCTCCTGGTGGCCAGCTTTGGTCTGACCACTGGTGAGCCATGGCCTACCAGCATGAGGCCTCCACCTTTGCAAAGTTCTGTGAAATCTGGAAACCATTCAGGGTCAGCTGGCCTCTGAAAGGCTCCAGAGTCCCTCTCCTCCCCCCCTCCTTTCCTTTCCTTTCTTTCTTTTCTTTTCTTTTTTTTTTTTTTTTTGTTCTTAACTTTCTTCTTTCCTCTTTTCCTTTTCTACAGTTAAACATTTTTCTTCTAAGTTATGAAAGATGTCAAATACGGTGCAGAAAATTGCCGACACAATATAATAGGAAACTAAGTGGGCTGTATTGATTCAGATCACTGGATTTGTTTAACACTAGTGTTACTGCTGTGGCTAAATCTTCCCAAAGCCTGGTCTTTCTCCTCCCAGGGGAGTTCTTTATCCTGGAGGAGATTCATGTCACATCCAATCCTGTTTTTATCTGCTACTCTACAGAAAGGAGTATATTGCATGTGTCTTTTTTTTTTTTTTTTTTTTTGCTTAAGGTGGAATTCACACAAAACTAACCATTTGCAACACACACTACAGCAAGATTTAGCACTCCAGTGCTGTGCAGACACCATCTCTTGTCTATTTCAAAATGCTTTCATTGTCCCAGTGATAAAATATCATGAATTGTATTATCATTTTCTTTTTTGAAGAATTATTTGCTTTTCGGCCAGCAGATGGCAGAGTGGTTAAGGTACTGGACTCCCATGTGACTGACTGTGGTTCAATTCCTGGACCTGGTGACTTGCTTTTTCTCTCTCTCTCTGTTTCTCTGGTGAGATACATGCCCTGCAATGAATTAAAAGATAATTATGATAAATAAACTTAAATAATTCTTTTAAAAATAAATTATTTGCTTTAGTTTTATTTATTGGTGTCTTTTCATTTGACCAGAGAGAGAGAAGGTGAGAAAGCAAGCCGCCAAGTTCAGGACTCAAACCACAGTCGGCCATGTGAGAGTCCAATGACCCAGTCAACCACATCACTTGCTGGCCCCAAAATATCATTTTCTGACCCTGGTATAAACAACTTTGACCATGAATGGGACCATATGATTAATGGACCCCAAACAGACAAATACAGACTAAGAACACAGAACTTTCCAGCTCTGTGCTCTTGGCACCGCCCAAGTTGCATCTGGAGTTAGTGGCCCTGCAAGTCCCAGGAATGTTTTTCCATCTTCCTCTTCAACCACCTAAGCCCAGGCAGGGCAGTTGGTGGTTTCTCTGCCCTAGCTCCCCCAGGGGAAGAGCTGGCCAGCCACAGACACCCCTGCCCCAAGGCCTTGTGCAGCTGCAACCAGATGTGCTGACCCCAGCCTCTGAGGACAACACTGAGGCCAGAATCTGGGTGGTTAGGTGAAGGCCTCACACATGGCCTGGGAACTTCTTCTGTAGGGCTGGAGCACCTTCTGGGGGAAATTGGGTAATGGCCCTATTTTCATTTCCATTACCTAAAATCGGACTGAAGTGTTTCAAGCCCAGTTGTGAAGGGCTCCTCCAGAAATGCCTCTTTCCCAACAGTGTCCCTGGTGGGATTCACCTGGGTGCTGTCGATGGTGGGAGTCACCTGGGTGCTGTCGATGGTGGGAGTCACCTGGGTGCTGTTGATGAAACTACAAATCCAATGTCGACTATGCACAAATCATATTTTTCCTCCCTTAGAAATAAGTCAGATACTGAGTTACTTGTCCCAGATAACCTGCCCTAATATTGGGCAAGTCAAACACCCAAGCAGTTACAATTACAGGGGCAGGTGTGGTCAAGTTTAGACAGAAGGTCTAAAGCCACCTGAGATGATCTTTGAAAATAGTTTGTGGGGGCCAGCAGGTGGCGTGGTGGTTAAGGGCATTGGACTTTCACTGGGCCGGCCGCAGTTTGAGTCCCAGACCCTGGCAGTTTGCTTTCTCACTTTCCTTCTCTCTCTGGCTCTATCCCTCTCTGGTTAAAATTTAAAATAAAGAAATAAGTAAAGTTAAATAAAATAATTCCTTTAAAAAAAAAAAAGGTTTGTGGGACCAGCAGATGGTGTAATTGCTGCGTTGCTAGACTCCTACGGAGTCAACTGTGATTTTAAGTTTGAAGTCATCCAGTCCCAATGACTTAAAACTCACACCAGGTGCGTGTGCATGTATGCTCAAGATCTCAAGAGGAGAATGGAGGAGAAGGGATTGCGGCGTGGCCATCCCCCTGGGGGTGATTTCTCATTTTCTGTTTCTCTGTCTCTCAGCAAGTACGCATGCCCTATAGGGAAAAGAATCTCTCCAAAAAAAAAAAAAGTTTAAAAAACAAAATGGTTTGTTATTTACTTGACCGAGAGAGAATCACACAAAACCATGTGAATCAAGATGCTTAGGTCTTCATGTTCACTCTTAAGTTTCCTGTGAAGCTGCCCAGGCTATCAAGAGTGTGCATATCCAGAAGCCACCAAAGTATCTGAAGGATGTCACTTTACAGAAGCAGTGTGCACCGCTGGAATTGGTAGATGTGCCCAGGTCAAACAGTGACCGGAAGTGGTCAGTGACCTAAAAAGAATGAATTTCTGCTGCATGTGCTTGAAAATGCAGAGGGTGATGCCGAACTTAAGGGTTTAGATGTAGACTCTGGTCACTGAGCATGCTCACGTGAACAAGGCACTGAAGATGCACCATTGTACTTACAGAACTCATGGGTTGGATTCACCCATACATGAGCGCCCCCGCCACATCGTGGTAATCCTCACTAAAAAGGATCAATTGTTCCTAAACCAGAAGAGAAAGTTGCACAAAAGAAAAAGATCCCAGAAGAAAATTGAAGAACATAAAACTTCCGGCATGGGGATAAAGTCAGCATAAAAGTAAAAACAAAATAGACTCAGGCTAGAGCAGGGAGCTGGCAGGGGACAGAGTGAGGGATCAAATGCAGCCAGGGAGGATCTCCTGAAGGGTATCTAAATGTTGGGTGGCCATTGTCTGGGCTAGACTCCTGCTCTAGGCCCCAAGAGACCAGACCCAAATGCAGTCGCTCATGCTAAAATGTCATGTCATCAAACTAAACTTTAAGGAAGCTGACAGATCCCCCAAATAAGCAAGTGTTGCTTTTCTTTTTAATTTTTTCCACAAGCAGGAGGTTTCGGTCAACCTAAGTCAATTCTCAAAGGAAGTAAAACTCATGCACTCAGGACTTCAGAAATGTGCACCTGAGGTAGCTCAAGGCACCACCTTAGCTCATTGAGCTCTGTTGTAGGGATACCCTCACTGCCCAAGTATATCGCCCCCCCCAACTTAGTGACCCCAGTCTATTATGAGGTCCCAGAAATTTTTTTTTGAGAGATTTTTGCTATAAGGTGTGTGCACTCACCAGAGAGACAGAAAGAGAGAAATCACCCTCGAGGAGGATGGCCACACCACAGTCCCTTCTCCATTCTCCTCTCGGGATCCTGGGCATATTCATACACGTGCCTGATATGAGTTTTAAGCCACCGGGTCTGGGACTCAAACTATAGTTGTCTACGTGGGAGTCCAACGGACATAACTACTACACTATGTACTGGTCCCCCTTATGATAGAATTTAGTTAGTCAATCAAAGGGTCTCCAAACAGCAGTTCCTTACATGCTCCCAGAATACAGGATCTTTGGTGCCTCCACCTGCACCTCACTTCACACACCTTGTACCCCAATGCTGCCATTAGATACTTGGATTCCAAGTCTTGCATTTTGGGGCTTGCTCTGGAGCCACCTCTTACCTGCCCAGTGGCCTCTAAGCAACCCCTCTTTTCTCTTGTTCTCCGGGACTCTCTGGCAGCTCTCCACCTGCTCTCAGGCCTCCACAGCAGCTGGACTTACCAAATTTACTTCTGAGTAAGATTTTACTAGGAAAAAAAAAGAGCTAGCTTCTTTTGAGACAAGTGTGCAGTGCACTGGATGAGTGTCCTCGGGGAGTCCCGGTTCCAGCCCACTGGGTGCGGTGCTCCAGCCAGGCCTTTGCTCTCCTTTGCTGTTTACCTCTATCTTAAACCATCCTCCACCCACGGCTCCAGAGGGATTCCGGAAAGAACTGAGACCAGGTTACCTCCAGCACTCTGAAGCTGAGGTAGTTGCTCCAGGGTTACTCAACATCAGCAAAGAGGAGCCCGTTTGTGGCTGAGGAGACCCTGGAGTCACAGAGAAGTCAGTTCATCACCATAATTATCAGTGTTGCTGATAGCGTTTCTGCCCCTACTGGAAAGTGGACTTCAGCTGCGTCTGCTCTGCAACGAGACGACTGGCCACCAAGGGGCAGCAGAAGGCAGAAACCTTGCCTAGAAATCATTTCAAACAGACCTGCCAAACTGCACAGGTCACAGAATCCACCGAATCCCAGGGAGAGCGGCCCCCAGCAGCCCTGTCTCCAGACTGCACGTTGAGAGACAAGTCATGAGCCAACAACACTTCCTGGGAGAGGGGGGGCAGAACTAGAACCCCAAGGTCCTGAGCTCCCCGACCACAGCCCACAGCGTGGCTCTGGGCCTAGGAAGAAGGTCTGGGGTGGGGGCCCAGAGCCTCTCATCCTCCAGTCCCCCAAGTGTGTGGGCTGTGGGGGTCTAAAGTGGCTCACAGATGGAGAAGACAGGATGGACAGAGTCACAGGATGGGAGTGCACCCCCAAATGTGGGGCTACATTGCAGGGTCTCTAACAGCCAGGGGGAAACCCGTGCAGGATGAGGCAGGCGAGGGCAGCTCTGCCAGGGTAGTCTCTCGGTGGGCTGCACTTGGCCTGAGGCCAGCAGGATGTCAGCACTGGGAGCTTGGGGCCCACCCTTAGGGTCAGGAGAGGCCCTGAGGTTGTGTAGGGCCCCCCTCACCAGGGATAGAGAGGAGCACTGGGGACAGGAGAGGACTGAACCACAGAGCTGGCTCGGCCCTGGGAGCTGGGCCTGGAGTCTGAGCTGTGGGAGAGAGGTGGGGTGTGGGAGGGAAAGTGAGGGCTGGGGTATGACAGGAGGGGGAGGTGGGGGAGAGGCTGCAGGGGCACCCCACCCCCACCTCCCCAGGTAGCTCCCCAGCATTTGGCAGAGTTCCTACCCATGGAAGGGTCCTGGAAAGGGTTGTGTGACTGCTCAAATGCCAAGAGGATGTGTTCTCAGGTCTGCACGGGGAACTTGGAGCCCTTCCCAGAGCCCCCCACCGCCAGTGCCTGGCAGGATGTAGGCGAGGATAGCCTCCCTGGGGGAGAGGGGCCTGCCGAGCCTGTTGTCCATCCTGCCCTGCTAGTCCCACCCTGCCCAGGCCCCTCTCACCAGGGCCTCCCCACGGTGCATGAGTGTGTGAGGTGGGGGAGGCAGTAGCAGCCATGGTCCCCTCTCAGCCTCAGTGTCCCTTTCTGACTTTGCTAGGTCAAATTTCTGAGGACCCTTCCTGGGTGACAGGCTGGAGTAGAAGGGTGTCCTGAGCAGGGACAGAACATGCACCCGGACAGTGTTAAAAGACTTTAATGTGGGCTCATGTGAGCCCACGGCTCCAGGAGAGGGGACAAGCTTTCGCCCCACACCCCCCACGGCCCCTCTTTGTCCTTGTGTTGGTTTCTGACAGCTCGGGGTTGGATGGTGAGGACCGGATGGAGAAGTCTCTAGGTGGTGCCAGCAGCGAATCAGGACAGAGGGGCAGTGGGCAGCTTCCGGCGGCCTTGCACATGCTGGATTGCCTTCTTCACCATTTTGTCCTCAGGGTCCGAACAGATGGACCTGCCCTGGATGGTCACAAGCCTGCACAGAGGGAGGACACAGGCAGCGGGCATCAGGGTGAGGAGGCCATGCCAGAGCCCCAGAAGTAGCCTTTCCTGCACAGCCAGGACCCCGAGGCCCGGAGAGGAGCAGGAACTTGCCCCAGGTCACACAGGTCACTGGTGCCAGATCTGGGACATCAGGTCCTGTCCTCGGTGATCCTGCCTTGGTCCTGGCCTTCCTGGGGATCCAGGGCTAAAGGACTTTGTCCCACCTCTCCGACTTCCCTCACACCTCCGACCACCCAGAGCCTGGGAGGAAAGGTGGAAGGGGCCTGAGGCAGCCCAGGGGCAGTGACCACATCCCTGCCGACTGTGTGACCTAGGTGTCCCATCCCTCTCCAGGCTTCGGTTTCACCGCAGTCAGTGAAGAAGTTGTCCCTCCAGGCCTGCAACCCTCTTGGCTCCATAGTGTGGAGTACACAGGGTCTGCCCAGAGGTGGTCACGGGAGGTGGGGGAGGAAGACCCTGCTCCGTCCCTTTCTCCAGTAGCCTTCCTGGGCTTTCTAGGGCATCCGTGCTGGGCTTCCAGATTGAGAATGGGTCAGGACACCTACAC